CAATAATTTTAAAATCTTTTCTTTTTAAAAATTTATTTTCGCTGTGTACTACCCAACTCCTGCCAGCCGTCAGATGCGTGAAATGAAAGTCTTCTCTCGCCGAACGAAGTATAAATTAAAGCAGTGCACAATCTTATTATCAAAATCTAAACCAATGTTAGTACTGAAGTAAAATAATTAAGTATTTAAAAAAATCTTTAACCACAAAAAATAATCCTCTATGCCGCTATAGAGGATTATTTTTTGTGGAATGCAAACAAGGTCAGTATCATTGTAGTTAGTTAGTAGTTGTTAGTAATCATAATTTTTGCATTAATAAAAAACAATAATATCTCGATCTGAGAGGATAGTGATCACAGCCGTAATCAAACTAACATTGTGTTATTGACAATTAATGCATGTTAAATTATAGGTTATTTGAACGGAATGACGAGATTTTAAATTATAATTTTTAGACCGAATTATTGTACTTGCGACTTGTGAAGCTCATTAAACTTCACACGGTCAACAATAGAGCTGTACTCGGTATGTGTTACATCTAAGCTTCTACAGTTAGCATTTAGTAAATTTTGCGTCATAAGCTTTAGGCAACAAAAAAATAAAAGTGAATTTATGGTTAAAATAGTCTAAATCTGTAAACGGCTCACCCGTCAGTATTTCTGCGACTTGTTTTCGTGCTGTGTCTATTAAAATATATACAATACATTTATGTTTAAAAATATGTTATTTATTATGTACATTTTTTTAATACTATATTCAATATGCTACCGTGTAGTACCATATTCGTATTGCATATAGCTTTTATACTTACATTTGTTTAATCAACTATGACCATAGTACACTAATGTTCAATCTTTACAGTATGAATTAATTGGGCCTACCATTGTTCTGTTTAAATGAACTAAGGATTCAATTTATGAAGTACAATAAGCACACAGGTTCTTTTGGGTTATCACGACTATCTGAATATGCGGTGGACTGCCGCTGGTTGTTACAATTTCGTTATCGCAACTACCAGAGACGAACACCGTAATACAATAGTATGATAATACATCAGGTTGGTAATTCTAGGTTGTACAAAATAGTATAAAATATAAAATTGGTAATAAAAAAACGTAGTATTAAATTATAAAGTTAACTAATAATTAGTATGATATTAATATTTGCATGGTAAAATAAAAATGTTTTAAAAGAATCGGAAAAATTAAAATATAAGAAAACTTGCTTGTGTGCTAATAAGTATAGACAAGTTTATACTAGGTTATTATAACCACAGCATAGTCGTCTGGTAGTCGCGAACACTAATTTGTGATTACCGGAAAATCATAGGTAGTCAAAACACAAAAATACCGTACAACATTTAAAAAGCCTACCAAGACAGGAAAGTTTACCATCATTAATTGCAAATAGCTTGCTTTGATTAATCAAGCAGAAAATGCAAAAAGAAACTCAAAACAGGAGAGTAGTGATTTACAAAACTACTTCAAAGGAAACACTGGCGTATATTTTCAGCAATGATAATGCATAAATAGATTAAAACAATTTGAAGCAAAAACTGTATTATTGATTTATTTTAAAGACGTGTACTATTGATATTTTTGTACTGGACGAATCTATAGGAAAATCGAAAATAACATTCTCTACATAAATTAAATAAAATATTTTAAAATGTAAAACCGCTTCTCGTGAAATAGTAAAAACTAACAATTTTTGTCTTGGGGAAGACGATCATACAAGTGTCAATAACATAATATTGGTCACTGATCGATTTATAATAACTATATGTAGTTGGTACTGGACATACTAAATTAGCTATTATTCGTCTGTGTAAAATTTAATTAAAACACATGTAAGTTTAACATCTAATTAATAACTTTATATATGTAGCATTTTTGAAGTTATAATAATAATTATTTGAATTACCATTAAAATATCAAAGGTTTGGTTTTGTTGTTACTAACCTGCTAACTTTCCACTTTTATAATCATCAACTTGTTTTTTACCAAATTTAATGGCGTCTTCACCAACAATTTTCAACGTATATTTGGCAATTTTGAAACTTTTCTTGAGTTGTTTTATAATATGTGGAGATCGAGGCATTCTTCCTAGAATGAAGTATATTAAAAAAACATGTTATGTTGTACTTATTTTATGTGAATACGCGTTATGAAGCTGGGCAGACTGGAGAATTGAAATCTCTTCGTCATATATGAGTGATGTGCGTGTGTTATGCATGATATGGTGTAAAATGATGTAAGAAAACTATTAAAAATACGCGAGTATTTAATACTTTAACAGACGAAAGTTCTGGGCGTGAAATGTGAAAAACACAACGATTATATACAACAATAAGAAATTGGTACTAGGCGGGAAATGTGCAATATTTTAGCCATAAAATGTGTTTTATTGTATTTACCTTAGTTTAAGTGTTAACTAGTGTTCAGATGCAAACGGCGAAAAAATAGCGGTAAGTTTAGTAGCTAAGTTGTTGCATTGTCGATTTGTAAAGCTGAAAATAGAACTTTCGTCCGGCCTTCGTGAGAATTTGTAAAGGCTGCTCACATTTGTTTACATACATTTGTATACTATTTGAGCAGTGATAAGCGCAAAACAAATTTAGGATTCGTATGTTATCTATTAAGATGAATATTTTTCGTGTAAACAAAACAGATGTCGTTATTAATAATTACTTATTACGTTATGTATTGTTAAATCGAGTTTTAAAAAATTAACTTATGATGATGTGTATTTTTTATCAAATGGCTTAGTGGTATTCAGGTGGTATTGTACTTACTTAACGTGTTATGTCTTTGAAATTCAGAAATATGACCACCTTGTGCAATTAAATATAATAATTAATAAAATCTTTTGAACAATTGTAGGTATAAATGGTATAGCTTTATAACGTACCTTCTTCGTCATTTTTCTGATTAGCACCCAAGATATGTGAGGCTCCAAAAATCTAAATTGCGTGTATAGAATGCGTGTATCATAGTGTATGATGATCATTATGCTTTGACAGAAATACAATTAATACTTACAAATGCTACGCACAGCGCAAAGCCAATATGTTCTCTCATTTTGTATATTTTAAGAAAAGACGGACTTATAATAAAATAATGATTTGATCGGTGTTTTTCCGTTTATTTAAATTAGAAAAAAGTAATTAGCACTTGACACAGTAACACTAAATATTTATATAAGACTTTTATATGTTTTAAAACGTTGGGGTTATATTATGGTGTGTGGTGTATTGATTTATAAGTATACATAACATGTAACATACATAAACACGTGTGTGTTTATTAATGCATGCAAACGTACTAAGACAATTATTAGTTTATTGTTTGTGTATAGTTGTAATATCGATAATTGTGCATAATTGTTATCGATAATTGTGCATAGCTATCATTATTATCAATATATTTATATGTTACGATTTTGTACAACTCGAAATAATATGGTTTGAATTTATTATTTTTTAATCGTATCTGAAACGTTGTGTTATACTTGAATTAATTAGAATCGGTGACCTATCACCCCATTCATTTTTTTTACAGCATTTGTTCAATAATATATTATTTTTATTATTAAGAAATGTAGTATATTTAGTAGGAAAAATATTCAACTTAAATGCTATGCATATAGAAAAATAATCTTATCTTGGATATGTTAAATATTGATAATAATCAGCACTTTTAATTGCTATTGTGTCTATGTCTTGTAGTTTTATTTTTATGTGTCGAATGCCTTACACGAATCATCGCTTTATCCGTCTATAGCACGTCAAAGCTATTGATGGATTTGCGACTTATCGCCAGTTTTGAAATATGCTACATAAAATAATATGTTTTGATAGTTCATCCATATTTTAAATAAAATTGTTTAAATACATTTGTTGAAAAAATCGTTTTATAAAAAAGTATCTATGTAAGAGAGGTCATTAAAATAGGGTTGGGGCAATTTAAACTGAATTTAAATCAACAAAAAGAAATCTCATCTGAAACTTTAGACATGCGTTGCCTTGCTGTTAACTGCCGCCCCAAATGTGCTATCATAGTTTAACTGATCACCAATACATATAAAAATATGGCACTTATCTTAATCGTCACGCCATCCGTTTGCTACTATTTATTTGTTCTTGATTCGTGAAAATCGCTGATTTGGTACATTGGATTAATAGCTCTATTAAGTTGTCTTCTAGCCATCCTTTTCTTCGAATAATTTCTATTGTTTTTTCAACCTGTACTATTGTAAACAATGAAACAATGATGAAGCTCGCTAAATTATCTCCATTAGACCAATAATTCATTGTACTTATAATATTAAAAAATCGGATTTAATCCTTTTTTGTAACTTTTCTCCTAACCAGGTCTTTTGATTTTTTAATTTAATTGACGTATAATGGTATTTTAAAGAATTTGTCTTTAACATTTTCTATGCTTGTTCTTCTAGAAGTTACCGCATCTTGAAATCATAATTATGTATGCACGATTACCGTTGCGTTTCCTTTGTATGCTCTCAGTACTAAAGTATCGTTGTGTTTACAGCATTAAAACCATCACGCAACACATCCATGAAGGTGGATGATGTAAGGCTTTCGGAATGTTGGTAAAGCTAATAGCTTAGTATAGCTGTAACCAAAACCCCTTCATAATTTCAAAAAACCTAATTTTATTAAAAATGTTAAAGGACATAATTTGTAAAATAATAAATGAATAATGAAAAAATAAACAATATAGAATTTAGAAAATTAACCAAGGTATACCTAGAATGGATGTATAACATATACAATTTTTCTGAAGTCAAAATTTTTTTTTATTAAAGAAAAACCAAAAACATACTAATGCGTATTGGTCTTTTTGATTTTAATACCAATGACTTAGGAATAAAAATGTTTTTTAGAATTGTACATAAAATTCGGTATGCGATACAAAGTTTGCTCAAACCTTCCTATCTTGGATAATGTTTTGTTAGTTGGTAAATATTTGAATACAAAATAAAATGTATATTCTTACCAGAGCTTTCATTAACTGGTAAGATGATGTGTTTTAATAATTGCACAAAGAATCATATAAAAAATAATAACATACGTTAGTAATTTGTTTCATGTTTAATAACTTTTTTGCTTGAAAACCATTTATTTTTATACTATAAAATTAAACACAAAAACTGTAATATATAAACATATATATTTAAAATTTTTCTTAAATTTAACTTGTGTTATGTTGTATCTCTTTTCCGTTTCTTAATTTTGTTACATTTTTTCTTAAACTTGTTGCTGACCTTGTTAGTATTCCTGGTCCCTTTTGAGAATCCTTATTGGTATCCTTATGAATCCGACCTTAAAAGTAGAAATAAATGAATGAAACTTCAATTTTTTTTAGTTTGTACATAATTCATGTTCTAAGATATCTATAATCCGGCCCACGAATTAAGGAATCCGCGTAAGAACAAAAACTTGTTACTCTCGTATGCGCCTGCGCAGCCAAGAGTACCGTGTTTTCTTTTTTTTTTATATAAATTATAACTCTTTGTGAAAACTCCACTTACAGGAAGTAAAATATTTATTAAAGGGGAAAGATAATTATTATTTAATAGTTTCTATTATTTTTTAATTATTAAGATTTTTTTCGTTTCATACAATGAAAACAAATCATTTCAGTTCTAGCATACTGCTATAGATTTGGAGTTCCTGGAACAGGTCATCAGTTGAATTTCTGTCTCTTATCAGTTTACCGGGAACACGATCTTATAACCCGGTCTGATAACTCCCTACACGGAAAACCGTAGCCGTTTTTTCCATGGTGGCCATCGGCGTGCATTGATCACGATTTAAGATAATATGGTTGTTCAACGACCTTTAGCAATACTCTCATTTCACTGCCCCGAAATAGTCTTAAACATATTTGTTTCGAATAAACTACTAGCGCTCCTATCCGTCATTCAAGATAACCATTCGACATTACAACTAATCGTAATGCGTTATTATTTTAAATTGAGGTTATAATCACAATTTATGTAAAATTGAAAATGTTGTCCGCTTGGAACGCTAGTAGCTACTAGAGAGTTTGTAATTTGTAAAGAATTAGCTTCGGGGGTCACTTTTTCACAAGCCGTTACACAAGGGAGTTACCAGACCTGGAGTCATGCCCGGCCAGGATAATTAACTTCCTCTTATCAATAATTTCTTATTAGTAATTCAGAGATTATCTATGCTTTCTTATCACCATCCAAATATCCAATCCCATCCCCCCTCTCCATCCTCAACGCATCCTTTAACAATAAAGACATTACCGAAATTATTTTTAAACTTTTTCTTGATTATTTTTGTCGTAACTTATACTTATACATTTAATTTATTTTATTTGAATATTTCACCTTTTAGTTTTGACACTTGTTTTTGAAGTCCAGCTGTAGCACCCTTTGTCTTGTTGCCTGCGTTTGATAATCTTGTTATAAATCCATTGGGCCGTGTTTGATTATCTTAAAAGTTTAAGTAAGTGCGTGTAAAGAATTTATTAAGATTATTTTTTCCACTTTCATATTATTAAATTTTTATTTGTATGGTTATATCTAAAAGAAATTTACTATATTCTAAATGTGAGGTAACTATAAGTAAAATAAATTTTCTATTTCACTTCGATTATGGCTTTTGAATTAGATTTTTTGTACTGAATTGTTTATTATTTGTATTATATTTTATCATTTTTAGAAACGTTTTAATTGTTAAAATAAATTGCTATGCAAAATTAAAAAAGAAAAAAAGGTAACAGCAAAGATTTATTATTGTTTATTCATGTATTAGATCATAGACAATCAGTACATGACATGATTTTTGGAAAAGATATTAGAAAATAAAACAGAAGAGTACGTGAAAAAAGAAAAATGGGAGTGAAAAAACAGCAAAATTAAAAATTATTGATATAAATGTTTGCAAAACCATAGACTGAGTATTTATCAATTTAATGCTATTATATTAACATGTTATTTAATGCTACATAGTATATCGACTATTGAGCACTTAGTCAAAATTTAGCCGCTGTGATGAAATACCACAATTTCTATTTGCCGAGATTTTTGCTTGGATTAACATACATTTTCTATAGAATTTTATTCAGATCCATTTAGAAGCCAAATTAATTCAAATAAACTTTAGACATAAAATTAAGTTGTGTTAAAACTTCACAATTAACATTATCAAGAAGTAAATAGTAAGAGCGTCGCAGGTCCACCATTTTTTAACAATATAGGTACTATATTATGGACAATTTCTTGTAAATAAATAGTTTGGGTAGTGTGTTTCTGAAAAATGAATAATTTTATTTGCTTCTTTAGAGTTTTTAATTTTTGGTGTCATAAAACACTAGTTTCTTATTTAATCATAGATAAATTTGAAAAATGATTTTATTTTTTCCAAAACTACATATTAAGTATTATTGTGGTTTATGGAAACAATTACTTTATAGAAATATTAGAAATATTTTTTATAATATTTGCTTTCTAGAAAATAAAAAAAAAAAAGCTAATATAGTCAATTGTTTTTAGAGATTTCTTAGCCTTTTGATGTATAATGAAAAAATCAATACATTGGGTTCACAACAAAAGATAATTAGTTTAGAAATTACGATACAGTAGAACTTCGATAAGTAGAATAAAATGCCGTTACTTTTAGAAAACCTCGATGAATTAAAAGAAAATGTATAGATAACGTCAACTGTTTACCTCTAAAAACACTTAGAAAAAAAAAGTAAACATTTATAGAAAACTCTAAAAAAGGACTACAGAAATAAAAATGGTTGAAATAATTATGTGTAATAATATAATAATTTTACTTTTCTATGAATTTTCACCTTCTTTTTTATTTTTTCCAAGCAAAAACCTCTTTGAGTAGAATTTATTTTTTCTAGAACCTCGGTAAGTCAAAGAAAATTTCGTTTCTCTCGAACTTCGACTTATTGAGGTTCTGCTGTATTTTGCTTTTCAATTATTAACCAGTAAATATTAATAATTAAAATTGTAAATAACATTATACCTTCAGATTTAATTGCTGAAATAATTTCCATCAGATCTATTACCTACATCAAAGAATTTGCATTATTGGTTTTTGTTAATTAATTAAATGTTATACAATATCAACATATTTACACATAGTTACAACATATTATATACTCACAACAAATATACATAGTATCAAACACAATAACTTAAATCCTTGCATTTTGAATATCTTTAAAAAAATAGAAAAATATTACTTTACTATTTTGATAAATATTAATTTAAATAATACTTTCTAGCTTGATTCACATGTGTCACTATAGAATCTATCTATAGTATAGATAATCGAAAAAAGTGTGTAGTGAAAATTTATTATGAAGTATAAATTGACCATATAGAATATTTTTATAATTTACAGCCTTATTGATCCATATAATTTTAATCCATATTAATTAAAAAATGTTAAAAAAGAAAAATGAACTATAAAACATAATATGAGTTTGCAGCCAATCGACTCGAGTATAAGGCAAGAGATACCCATGGTGCCAAAACAAGTATTTGGTCCATCCAGCCCAAGATTAGACATCAACATTTTGCCATAAGATAATTCGAAAATGTACACTTTGATTTAATAGTAGTTTTGATATTAGCATTATTAAAAATATTTATTTGCATACTTTGTGTACTTTTTGGAAAAAGATTCAACACATATTAGTTTAACAATAATTGCGATAATTGTTTTTTCTTATTTTGCGACTTTAAGTGTATAGAAAAAAATACAATTTTTATTAAACGAATGAGAATGATCGTTAGAAAATAATTATAAATTCGATAACCGGTTTTAACGAAATACGTTTATGAGAATAGTAGTATGCGTTATAAGTAAATGAGTAATTATCGTTGATATATACAGCGTAAGACCTATATTCTCTCATCTATTATTTCGAAAAAAAAAATTTTAATTATTAAATAGGGTATGCAAATATTGTTATCTATCGGTCATTCTTGCCTCGCCGTGTTAATTTTAACTATACAAATGATAAATAAATGTAAAATACGGTTATGAATATTCATTTTGTGTGGTAAAAAAGAAAATCACCATAAAAAAAATGTACTAATATATACATACCCCGAAAAAACTGACTTACTGCTTACTTGCGATTAACTAAGATTTAGATAACTGTACGAAAGCGATTGTTACTGTACACTAAACGCGTACATAGGAGCTTTAAAGTTTTTCTTATAATTATTTGTTTCGTACAATGACGCATTAACTTATGGTGTCAACTTTTTTTTTTCGAAGACAAACTAGGTTACGGACTATGGACGTTATTTGTATATTGTCGACTCGTTTTATTAGCACAAAAATGTTTTATATGAAAACACACACAAGTAAAACTACATGTGTGATTTTGCGCCTGTTTGTTGACAATGACTCGACCAAATAATTATTCAACTATACATTGGCCTTATATGCAAACTCGGTCGTTCCCATTCCAATGGGAACATTAAAAAAAGGCCCTACATTTTTCTTTTTATTCCCTGTAGAACCGGCTCACGAGACATATAATATAAAATATCGGTCTCATTATCTTCAACAGAAGCGTTTACGAAAAAATCATTGAAAATACAGATAAAAATTTGTATTACAAAAAATATAAGTTGTTTACATAATACATAATATTTTGGTAATATTAAATAGGACAATATACACGAGAACATAATAATTCGTTAAATCTATAGTCATAATATTATGTCATACCTTCTTATTTGTGTTTACTTTTTTTATGATTTAGTGGTAAAAAAGAACACAATTTTTAAAAAAATATCACTGAATTACGTAAGCCATTAAATACACGTGTTATTGACGAATGACACTCAACTGTACAAAGTATTAATTAAAAATTGAAAATCTTTTTTGCAATTGTTTGATTGTATACTTACTAGGAACCTAAATATGGGATACATTGTATTTTCCCCTATTTAGTCATAGAAAACGGTATATGTAATGCTAAAAAGCATTAGTTGACTGGGAAATTTATTTTTTGATAAATATACAAAATATATTATGCAATAGGAAATAATAATTTAATGGCCGTCTCGACGTTGTCGGGTAATCAAATTCTTTGAGGTAGCATTGTAAGTACAAAACAAAACAAAACTGCTAAGAACAAAAAGTGATGGAACCAGATCGATTACTTTGTTAAAGGACACCGGTAAATCCAAAACCGTCAAACTCTTTATTTGGTGGGATTATCGTTCGTCGCAAAACATTTCTCTCCAGTTGTATCCAATTTTAGCCGAGGATTAATGAAAATTCAATTAAAAATTTGTTAAAACAACTGTTATGGTGAATACCAAAGAGATGTAAAAAATAAAATAAAACTACTAATCCATAACAAATAAAATGATAAAGACATCTTTGAACAATTTTACTCAAACGAACCAATTTTAAATATAGATTTATTGTTTCTTATTTATTTATTATTATCTATTACTTATTTCTCATTATTATTGGTTTGGGTGTATCGTGATAATAGGTATGCTTTTTAAACTTATTTTAACCTTAGTGTTTATTTTATAAGCACAAAAAACGACAGACTAAAAATGAATAGATTCTAATACAGTTTTTATTAAAATCAGAAGTGGAAGAAAACTGAAATAAACAGACTTAATACTTAAGACCTATAAACTTAATACTAAAATACTAAACACTTATTATTATTAATGATGATTATATTCTTATATGAATAAACTAATTGCTAACATAATAATTATTAAACATTACTATAAGATTAAGAAAATATACATCATTTTGACAAACGTAAAGACAGTGTACACACTAATGATAGAACAAGTGTCCTATCTACACACGTGTACCTTACAATATCTAGGTCATATGTGTGCCGATTCAAACAAACCACATTCGAAGATTGTACAGATATTACACTAAATATTTATTACATTTTTTGATTAATAGGGTAAGACAAAAAATTATGAAAATAAAAGTAATAAAGAATTGTTATAACACTTAATAGTTTTGTTGTTGCTTAAGTTTTGCTCTTTATATAAGATGATATTTATGAAATTTGTACACGCTTATGATATTTTTATAAATATTTTATTTTATTTGCTGATAAGTTGAAAATATATGGTTAATGATCCAGAACGATATAGCACATACAATTATTTAGTATTTAAATGATGAAATTAGTGAAATTTAAACTTTACTTACTTACTTCACTTTACTTGAAATTTAACTATATAATATATAGAATACGTTAAAATACTTTTTAGGATTAATGTATTTTTTATACAGTGCATAGCATAAGAGTCATAATATGAGGACGAAAATATATTATTACAATATTTGGTGTAATTTGTTTCAGACAAAATTTCGGAGGAAATCGATTTTTCTTGCCCCTTTATATACTCACCTTGTCATGAGTGTGGTACGTTCCATGAATAACAAAACACCAACTAATATTTATGGAATTACATCCGTACCCTCAAAATCAGTCATTAGAGAGATGTTGTTACGCTGTAGTTTGTGCGCCTACACCTAAAAGCATTTTTCTATTATAGTGAAACACACATATTTCGTACACACCGGGTTTCCACGACGCTTTAATAGTTGGAATATCTCCTAAGAAACCAGAAGTTATTGAACTATGTTTCTCTAAACGTTGCGCTGGCGTATACACTATAGACAACAACATATCTCTATATGTGTATATATGTATAGATATTAAATTGAACAACTCTCGATTGTAATAATATTGTCAGATCTACTCCTCCTGTAATAATTAGAAATACCGTTTACAATAAACAAAAGTGTATATCATGACATTCATACGAACGTTTGAAGTTATTGTGAATAGCAATAAGAAAGGGTTACACTTATTCAGTAAGTAAACAATGTACGGCGTAGCGGTTAAAGTGTTTAAAAGATAACGGTTGCAATTGTTGTTAAATGCAAAACAAAAATTTGTTTTCTCCAAACACAATACCACAATTTTTTGTTGAAAAAGAGAGCGCTGAAAGTTACTTTTTGTAGTAATAATTTGTATAAGTAATAATTTGCAGACGAGCTTGATTGTGTATAAACAATTTTTTTTTTTTTAAATATACGACTACGAAGCTACGGTAAACTAATAATGGCAATGTAATGGATAAGTATTAAAGTTAGTTATATTTTTAACAAGGGTTTTATTATTAAGATATACTTAGAGGGTTTTAATAAAAACTCATTATTTATTACATTACAATATTTACTTGACTCGTAAAAATAATTTGTTTTTACTATTTTTATAACACTCACAATATCTAAAAAATAGTACTCAATGATGCGGCAAAGAGAAGAGCATATGAAAAACTAGCATTTTACGATAAAAACTCAAACGGTACTTGCAATGTCAATTTTACTGATGTTTCTAAATGTAGTAGGTGTAATAGTGAGTGACTATAATGCCGCCAATAAAACGATGACGTTTTCCTTTGTTTTATTAGACCTAAGAGACCTTTTATGCTGTTTATATTTTATTTTTCCCGTAACACATTTATATTCAGGAATATTATTTTTATAAACTTCAAGTATGTTGTCAAAAACTTGAATTTCAATGGAATAATTTGTGTTTTTAATTTAATTGTGTTGGTGCTACCACAATCATATCACTTCATGCAATCGTATAAATTTATAATATGGTGCCAATTTTCAATGCGGGTTTTGAAGGTGTGACCAAATATTAAAAAGTAACATCATATTTAAAGTAGGTAATAATTAATAATAATTTGTTCCTATGTATAAGAATTCATTATTAAAATCCGACATGACAGAGAATATAGCAAGACAAATTCAGATTGGGATTAAGTAACTGCTAGGGAAAACTGATCAAGTATGCTACCTCATGCGTCAGTGTGAATTTTTTTGTTGCATCGGCTTTCAAATTTTTCAATTTACCGTTCGATAACCATTTACACATATTACTGTTGTATTATGGATTCCATATTCGTTTACACCAAACATTTTTGTTCGTCCACTTAGGAGCATTACAGTATTCAAATCGTGTACTTGGTAAATTCAAGTGAAACAGCTCTAGGCTAAGAGTTAAGTTAACCCAACAAAATATACCTAGCAAATCGTATTTTCTTATCATAACGTTAAACGAAGTGTGAATACATAAAACATGTTGCAGAAAGGAATTCAAATGTATTAAATAATATAATATCTAAACATTTGTGTTAACGTTTTACATGTGCAAGCATCTTGTCCCATGATTCGACTATCTAATAATTGAAATGTATATAGGTGTCTAAAATAAAAACTTCTACTCCCAAAATGAAGTGTGACATGACATAATTTTTTATTGGCTACCGGTGCACAGTGGTCCGAGAGTGAATTCTAGGCGCTCAAAAGTCCTATTAATAAATATGCAAAAAATATCAAAACAATTATGAATTATTAATTTTAATATGTTTCTTAGACATAATATAAAATTTCAAGGTCAAATTTGGAATTAATTCGACTATTTTTTAAATGTTATAGTCTTTATAGTTCATAGTGCATAAGATGAATTGCAGTCCGTACAGACTATCTATAATTAGGTTCAATAATAATTATATTATAATCACCAAATGATGACCATTGATGTTTCCTGGCCACTACAACGTTTAGTGGCGCACTCTAAAGGATAGCAAGCAAGTAGTAGATACTGCGCAATACTATAACCAATTTATGCTATAATTGATATAGTTAATTTTTCGTTTCGTGCTAAATAAAATATTTTTCGGCGTGTCATTAAAAAAAAAGGAACAATAGATAAAAATAAAAGTAAAAGCGAGTGTGGAACATAGCGGTTGAAACTGAACGTAGTAACACTATAATATTCAGTTTAAAAATGCATTGGCTTTATCCCCATCAAGCTTATTGGCGCCACGTCATAAATGATCCACAGCATAGCACTCAATAAAGTTAAAAGCCGCGAACTGTATAGTGATGCGTTAACGACGAGACAAAAGAATAATACTCGAAAAATACTCGAAAAGCCGAGCTAGCTGCACATGGGCGGCGGGATTCAGGAAATTCCCTCTGTAACCTGGTTGTATGTCTACTCTATTTAATTACACTACTGTCACGACCGTTGCGCATAATAATGCCAAACGACACGCAGCGAATGGCAGCGAGTAGATACCCAGTCACCCATAACAATACGCCTCTATGTGTGATGTAATTTACTCGTGATGATACAAGGTATCGTTTTCGTTTGTTGTGT